AACGAAGAAAAAATATTTGACATGAGTGGGATTTGAACCCACGCCCGAAGACTGGTGCCTAAAACCAGCGCCTTAGACCACTCGGCCATCATGTCACTTTTTTCAACTTAAAGCCGAAAGATATCACATATCTCCACACAAAGCCTTCGGAGGAGCCCTTCAAACATCCGTTTGAAAATTGGGCAATACCCAAAGCCGAAATCCGCTCGACACTCATCCACTTGCGCAATCTGATGCGACCAGTATACCCCCTCGTCGCTGATACGTACTTCCGCCTACTGTTCAAACTCCTTCCCTTCCAAGCGCGTTTTTGGTTCCTGGAGCACCTGAACCCGAACATCCAGCTATGTCCGTATACCTACCTGCTTTCACGTCGAACCGGCATGCATGCTATGTTCTCGTGCACGACAATTTCCAACTCGAACCCCCTTGGCAGCAGTTTGGGATGACGTTTACATGGCACACAATAACGAATCCCCGGCGCCTCACCCCTGCACCACCATGGCTGCCAGACAGAGAACTTCTCGTCCAAATCTGGATTGTCACAAACACTATATACTAGCTGTGGAAACATCGATGCAACACGCGCTTCCGCAACGCTGCGCCTCCCAAGAGGGTATCGCTTGTTGAGACAATTCTACGACACTGGACCACACAAGTCCGAGCATGGCTACGAAATCCCACCACATCCGACGGTCACGCGAACATGGCACTCATTTTTGAAATGATACTCACCCATCCAAAACTTGCATGGTTTGTACGGAAATACCCGTGCTACAAGGCACAACCACCCCCGCCAGAGTTCGACGACATTCTCAGCAAACATCACAACTAGCCCCCGACACGAACAACACTGCAGCCACAGTCACCACAACATCCACTACGTCACATCACTATGTCTACCCAAACATATCCAACATCACCCTGCCACCGCATAACAACAACTACCACCACACCATTGCCTCCACGCAATTTTCAACAACACCGACACATCGCCGCCTACACACGACACCAACCAACATCACCACGTCACTATCGCCCACATCGCTACCTCCGGCCATCACTAACGCACACCACCACACCGCTACCTCCACCCACCACTGCCCAACACCACCACATCGCTACATCCACACGACACTAACGAACACCGCCACATTACTACCTCCACTAACCGCTAACCACCGACACCACATTACTACCTCCCTGCCACTAACCGTGACCACGACATTGCTACCTCTTCCCATCGCTACACGGTACCCACCCCTCCGACACATTCACCAACAATCACTGCACCACACCCACACAACACCAACTCGCCACCCACTACAGCCACGTAGCTACCTCTGCTTGCACTAACCCCCACTACTCCACCGCCCACACTACTACGTAACTCCGCATCGCTACCTCCACACGCCACCAACCGACCCTAACCTCACCACCCATCGCTACTACGACCATGACATAGCTACCTACACCCACTACTACCCAACACCACAACATCGTTGCCTCCAACTACCGCTACTACTTCCACCCATCGTTGCACCATGTCCACCCCTCCCATACCTTCGCCACCAACTCACTGCATCACACCCACGCAACACCATCGACCCTAACAACACACTAACACCACCGCCACACTGCTGCCACACTATCGGCACCATCACCACAACCACCCATAACAACTTGTCCACCACTCAGGCTGCACAACCAACATCTTCACACCCCAACAACGACCCGGCATCAATTGCCAAATCTCCAAATTGAGTTCCTCTCCAAACGACAAAGAGGAGAGTCTGGGTGAAATATTTGGTTTACTATAGCAACAAATTGTTATAATAAACTCCCACTTGACATCGGCCATCATGTCACATTTCTTTTCCCCCATATCCAACAACAACTCTGAAGTACCAACACTCTCGGGACCTTTCGTCAACATTGTCCGCCGCCGCTGCCTCCTCGTCCTAGGCCGAGGCTGCTGCCCCCAAGACCCGTGTCACCCTCGCCCGTCCATTGATGAGATGGACGAGATCATGGCCTTCCTTCGCAACGACGGCAACTCTGTCGACGACTCGATTGACTTCATCCAGGCGCGGGTTCCATACCGCCATATCGTGTAGACGTCAACCTTGGTCGTCGACATGGGCGCCGCCAACATCCCTGCGAGTTCGATTCGCACCTTGTGGGCCTCGATGCTCCAAGCCACACAGACACCTCTCGTCCACCAGGCCTTGCGGGTGAAGGTGGGCGGCATCACCCAGCTTAACACGATCCCTGGCCAACGCGGGGGTTTCGCCTTCTCCGTAACCGAAGAATGGCGCAAACAACTGTATGGTCAGCCCATTATCAGCGGAGGCAAGTCGTTCGCCTTCGGCAAGGCTCACCCTCTTGATACCATATTCTACCTTGACATCACCTGCACGCGATCGACCTTCCCCATTAAACGCATGGTTCAAGCTCTGGTCTCACTGGGTACCAAGGTTGTCTACTTTGCCCACGGTGAAATCACGGAGTACGAGCAGAACTTTAGCACCTGGCGTGTGTACTTCGACAGTGACAACATCCCAAAACACTGCTTAAAGTGGTGTTCCGCGCACGATACGTAGCTGCAGGGTGACGATACAACTGGTGGAAGCAGATGACGTCTGAAAGGCCAGTGGTGGATGCAATTTCGTCGAGGGCCAAGAATACTGCATGAGGGAAACGATTAATGTGAGCCCATGTGTGGTGGAGTTTGTAGGAGGTGGTCAAGTGGGAAAGTGTTGGGGTAGTGAGTGCCGACGCTTTAAAGGGCGCAGCATTCACGATCACATCCATTTTATCCGCGACCTCCAGCACTGGTGCACCGACAAAACCGAGAACTGTTTTGCCGCATTTCTTGACTGGGATCTGTAGGAAACTCTGCGGTCGATGAACTTTAGACCGAAGTTCATACAGTGGGTTCAGCTGCTCTACACTACAGGGAACGACGCCGAATAGTGCTGCGGGAAATTGGTACAATTAATTTTGAATTAGCCAATCAAGTAGCTCTATTTCACAAACTGATTTATGATTGGTAAATATGTTTCGCGGCAAGTTTGAATGAAAGTTGATTGCCTGGCAACTCCACAAATCGATTTCCTGCTAGACCAGGTGTCACCAATGAAACCTACGGGTATCCAGCATCGTCCAAGACCGTTCATTGCCCAAAAGCTGCAGGCAGTAGTTACTGCCCAGGCTACAGGCGTGCGCGAGGCTGCCCGGGAGCTCGGATACGCGGAGCGCAGCGTACGACTGTGGGTGCAGGAGCAGTCGAAGCTGGCTTCCTTCGAAGGCTCGAAGACACGAAAGAAGAACACCGGTAACCGTGGTGCGAAACCGATCCTCCGGGCTGCTCATGCGCTGGTGACGTACACGAAGGACCTTCGACGCCACGAGCTCGCCGTCACACATTAAGCATTTCCTGCGCGAAGACAACATGGAGTGGATCGTCAACTATATGGCAACGCGCAAAGAGGGCTACAAATCCCTGCTCCGGTTGCTGCAACGGTTTGCCGACCGCCATGGTTTCTCGAAACAGCGAGTTTGCCGTCAGAAGTAGACACAAGAAGACCTGGAGTCCACCTGCCTCCTGTTCGACCAGCTTTTCCACAACATCTACCCGGACCTGTCGCCGGATTGCCAGTACAATGCGGATGAGACTGGCATCTACTTCGACATGTGCCCAAGCTCGATATGGGCCGTTCGTGGTGGCGGCTCCTACGTTGCCAAATCGGAGACCCACTCGTACCGCATGACCGCGTTGTTGACGGTCTGTGCCAATGGTCTCGAATTACCGATCTTTATTGTCATCCGAGGCGAGCCTGGCGGTGTCATTGAGACGAACGAGTCCAACGAGTACCCTCCAGGTCAATTCTATGCGATGAAAAAGAAGGCGTGGATGAATGGTGATGTGAGGTACTATCTGCGGGATGTGCTTGCACCCAATATTGAGAACCTATCGGTTCTTTTGGTTGACAACTTCGACTCCCACGTTAGGGATGAGAGCGAACGTATTGTCGGTGACGAGTTGCGTAATGAAATCTGCGTACTTCCTCCAAACAGCATATCGCACTGCCAGGCATTGAATGTTTCTCTTATGGGTCCGTTTAAGCAGCACTTGCGTGATCTATGGGTTATCAACCAAAACACTGCCGTGACTGCAAAAGAAAGCGAATCGTGATGTTTGAACTCGCCATTAAGGCATGGGACATGATCACTGAGGAAGAAGTGCGCGCTAGCTTCGTGAAGGCACTGCCAAAGCAAGCTTAGTGTGTAACAAATGGAATACAGAATGTTTGTGTCAAATGTATGTTCTTAGTTTTGCCTGATTTTGACTTGAAATCAGGCAAATTGCCCCCCCTGATGCCATTTTGTATGGCATCAGGGGAGGGTCGATCTGTAATTTTGCCGCCAAGAGTCTTTGTATTTAAAGTTTAGAGGTCCCATCCCAGAATGATCTTGGATTTCTACAACACGAGACACCTTTGCCCCTTCGCACCAGCTTATCTCCCCGAATGGTACACTTAACAGGGAACGACGCTGAATAGTACCGCCAATTATCATTGTGATTGGATATAGAACTGAACAATGACGTATCAGGTCATCCCAAAATAGAACAGATGGATGGATTGGAATTTATCATTACAATATTAGATTATACAGGTTATAGTATTAAAGGTAAAAATCAGCAACGGCTCAAGTTTCCTGCTCTACAGCTCATAGAGAACACGGATTCATGGAGTGCGTTGAGTCCAGCACGATTTGAAGCACGAATGTGTAACGTGTTCATTGTGACAATCGAGAAGAATGCAAGGATTTTTTTCTGGAAAAATCTATTTTATTAAATAGTCACATCAAGACAAACTTAAAAAAATTCGGATTGGGTTGATGGTCTCCAGCCATAGAATCTTTAGTATTACTACTAGTATGCTCAGTACTAGTGGATTTTCTAGAAACATGCGACAGGACGTTCAACGGTGCTATCAACAACGGTCCTTCCCTGGCTGTTGAATTCGGATGCCTCATTTTTGATTTTGCCGCCATCGAGACAAGTGTTCGTCTTAAACTCTCCGAGAGGGGAGGGGCAGTCCTAGGCGTTGGCGACATACTCCACCATCCCAAGCACTGGCTTTCCACCCGGGCGGCCTCTGGTCTACAGTCCTACCAACCAGCTCAGGTTGAACGAGCAGCTTTCCAGTGTGCTCTACCCCACCCGTGGTGTTCGACAGGGTGACCCCTTGTCTGCCCAGTTGTTTATCTTGAGTGTGGAACTGAACCCCTGGGCAAAGCACTTCGCCAAGCACCAGGTTACGGCATCCAGCTGACACCGCAGCACGAGGCCACTTGTGCGTTCTTTGCTGACGATTCAACAATCTTCTCCCACTCCACACAAGCACTGGAATCTCAATTGGAAATTGTTAAGGCGTATTGAGCGGTCTCTGGCGCCAAGTTGAAACGTGACAAATCTAAAGTCATGCCGCTGAACCGGCATACCCCAGCAATGACTACCCAGACTCACTCTCCTTCAACCGGGGGAAACAATGACGTATCTGGGTATAGAGAACCGTGGGTGAACTCGCCCACAGAAGTACAGTTGACATTTTATTCATTTGTGTCAACTGCCCCGATGTCAAATTACAATGCATTTTTAGCCAATCATAGATAAAAAAATCGATAACTCTTATTGGAGAGAATACAGCAAAAAGACCTCTCCTAGTGGTCTGTTCAAATAAAGTACATGCATGAAATTCAAACGTGTTTCAATGCCAGAGGGAACACAACCGCGACGACCGATGGCCCCAAGGCGCAAGCAAATATGAAAGCCGCTGATGAAGCCGTACCGACGTACAACACTACTTCCCAAAAAGAAACAACAACAGTATTGTATTGGCACAATACAGACACTTCTGCGGAAACATTCCGATCTCGGTCCATGCTGCAGCGACCGTCAATTCGCGCGGCAGGAGCATATTCAAATTGCAACACTACGCGGGTGGCTCAAACGAAAACATGAGTACCTGGAGTCAGTAAAACGGGGCAGCAACACGACTCTGTACGGACATGGCCAACTGGAGTCCGTCAGCTATGGCGCCGACCTCGTCAAATTCATGGATAGCGTCCGTGACATTGAAAAGTTCTTGACCACTGCACACGTCGTCACATGGTTCAAGACACACCAACAGCCATGGCTGGTTGCCTACCTCGACGGCAAGCCTGACCAGGTTCGAGCGTACAAAGGTCTTCTTGGGTGGTGCCATAATTTTACCCACCGACACGGCTTCTCCCAGCGGGTACCATGTGCGTCAAAGAATTCGCAGGCCGAGCTCCGCGCAAGGCGTGTCGAGTACGCCAAGTCGTTCTGGCCAAAGTAACCGCCTATGACCCCGCCAACATCATCAACATCGACGAAACGGGTGTACATTACGACATGCCTCCACGGCGCACATGGGCTCGGATCGGCGAGTCCTCCAAGGTGGACAAACAGCAGAAGCACTCGAACAGAGTGACAGTAGTGCTAGGTGTTCGAGCTGACGGTATTATAATGTCATGGGTTTGCCCTTACGTGAGATGTGGGATGCGAATGATGAAATATGGATGGGTTGGATCGATTGCCGATCCTTTTTCGTAGTAAGGTAAACTATTAATATCGCAAACGCTTTTTGTGCCCTAAAATATCAAATGTTTGAAGCACTCCACCACAAATTGTTCCTCGAATAAAAAAAAATCTAAGGGTAGGGTTGGAAAATATTAATCCAGCTGCATTTTTTAGTGCCGACAAGTGCCTGTAATATCCCAATAATCGATTTGTATTTTGAAATTAAAGCGTCACGTGAAAGAATTGGTGAAAGGTTTTTGGCTTTGTATTTCGTGAACGGTCGTAATATCTTAGTTTTGTATGTATGGAATAGTAATTTACACAATATTACATGGTGCATTTCATCTAAAGACTACAGATCGGCCATCCTCAGGAGGAGACTTTTTACTATTAAACGCCTCGGTTATTTAAGTTAAACCCACGTAATGTTGACGTTAAATTATTTTTACTTACGTTTTTTATCTGGTAAATAGGTTAAACATCCTGAATAATCCGGATACAATGGAAAAGTTCATACGGATAAGTGCTGTATACAAAGACCAAGATTTACTTGATGCTCCTTTTCGGCTAAAATGTGCCTGGCTCCATATGTCCATACAAAAAGGCTGGTTGGTTTAAATTCTATTACTCGATCAATTTTTCACCAATCGAAATTTTGAACCGTAACTTCTGTTGGTCTTGACCAGTTCTATCGTTATTACGGTCTATTTTCCTAGAAAATATCAATACAAAGTTGGAATAGCTGTCGAAAGACAAGGCATTTTTTTGTAGTCTTTAGTTGAAATGCACCATACCTGGGTGTCATGACGCATTTTAATTTATACATGAACTCAATTCTGCATTAAATTTGAACGCATTATAATACGATACAAGTTGAAATTTGTATTGGACAACAAAAAAATGAACATAGTGTTTATGAAAGGTCGCGAGAGTGTTGGTAGATCATAGCTATTGTTGGATATGGGGAAAATATATGAGACATGATGGCCGAGTGGTCTAAGGCGCTGGTTTTAGGCACCAGTCTTCGGGCGTGGGTTCAAATCCCACTCATGTCAAATATTTTTTCTTCGTTTTTCTTATGGCATATTTGGCCCAATTTCATAGCTGCAAGTCTATCCCTTCATATCATCACCACCTCTGTCCACTTTACCACATGAATACAGTCAACGACGGATTTTAAGCCACACATGGAGTCGAAGCACAGCCGGATTCGAGTGATGTAATTGGCTAATGTACTTCGAAATTCGAGGGTTATCCTGACCAATAGACTGTCCCGACAAATGTTTTGACAAATTAATATAAAATTTGAAAACCCGGGGCTATGCGAGCAGGATACATTGCGCACATACTATTTCCCTCGTAACTCCTGCATTTTTAATCCGTTTGACCTCAAATTAGTGGCAACATGATCGCCTTGGACAGCGCTATCGTTTACAACTAATTTGAGCGCCAAAAATAAATGGAGACAAAGTTATCGAGAAAAGACTGTCCTTGGTGTTTGGAAGCGGCGAATGCCGCGTCCAAGCAGAAAACGTCATGTTACTCTGGCTTAGGGATCGCCTTCAAAAAGGACCTGATCCGGCGTGATCTTCTCCCACGCCATTATCGCTCGCTTGATCATTGTCATTCGCTTGACGTGAGCCGCAGGTGACATCCAATCTTGGTCGTCTTCTTCGTCGTGTTCAATGGTGTCTTCGGCGATCCATAGGTCACGCAGGGGCGCTTGAATGGCGCCATGATGGAGCCATCCAGTGACTGGCAGTGGGACGTGGCGTTGGGTGGCAGCGGACAGACATCATATCCAATCTCGGCAGCGGTGGCAACTCCTTCTTCGTTGACATGGGCGTCGAAGTTGTCAAGGACAAGAAGTGATGTTCCGGTAACGCGTTCGACCAACACCCACCAGAGGTACTGTCTCCAGACATCTGCGTCCATCCAAGCCTTCGATTGCATTGCGTACGCAATTCCTTGTTGTCAATGTGACCGCCAGGCTGGCCCTTGATGACGAAGAGAATCGGAAGCTTCTCGCCGTCACGACGAATCGTGAAGACGGCAGTCATACGGTACGAATGTTTCTCTCCCTTGGACAGTTTCGGCGTCCCACCAATCTTGGACCAGATGTATCGTGGTGGCATGTCGTACTGGATCCCTGTCTCATCGACATTGTAGTCGCAGTCGTCCGGCAGACTTCCGTGCTCGCTGTAAAAGTGGACAGCGAACTCAGCCCTTGTGCTCTCGAGATCGGTGATGGTTCGCTTGGCTGTGCAAGCTTGTTAGTACGTCTACCCATGACGGGCACAGAAGCGTTGCAGAAGCCTCAAGAGGTTATCGTAGCCACATCCGTCGGCCTGGCGCTCAATGTACGTTTGTAGCCATTGTTGCTGGTGCTTCTTAAGGAAATTGGCCATATGGGAGCACGTTAGGGCGCGCTCTTGGTGTCGTCGGGTGTCCATGAACTCAAGCAAGGGTCGGGTTGAGGGAGAATCGACGGGCGGCCGGCTCCAGGTACGTTCGATGACTTCTTGTTTCCTTTGAAGTCGGATAACTTGTTGGCCACCCTTACCCAGTTGCGCACATTGCTGTAGTGCACCCCGAGATGGTCACCGATCTCACGGATGGACATGCAATCGCGCAGCGCGACGGCTTGTTTCTTCAGCGAGATGGGGTATGTATGGCGGCGAACCGGGCGGGACAACTGGTTGGAGGTATCGTGATCCATGGTGATGCTTGGGGCATCAACAGTTTGAAAAGTGTTGAGACGACACGGCTGAGATGACATGTGTGAGAATTCGCGGGCTTTATATTTCAATTTGGCGCGTGCTTATAATTTGACCAATGGGGTCGTAGTAAAACACATCTCGCATTCAATTGGATAATTATCACATTCGTAATGTTGATACTTCGGTGTGGCTTAAAATCCGCCGTTGACTGTATGAGATTCCATTTCGAAACAAGTCACTTGCCTTACCCATACGATGACCACACTCTCATTCAATGTGATGTTGGTTGGTGTCGTGTGTAGGCGGCGATGTGTCGGTGTTGTTGAAAATTGCGTGGAGGCAATGGTGTGGTGGTAGTTGTTGTTATGCGGTGGCAGGGTGATGTTGGATATGTTTGGGTAGACATAGTGATGTGACGTAGTGGATGTTGTGGTGACTGTGGCTGCAGTGTTGTTCGTGTCGGGGGCTAGTTGTGATGTTTGCTGAGAATGTCGTCGAACTCTGGCGGGGGTGGTTGTGCCTTGTAGCACGGGTATTTCCGTACAAACCATGCAAGTTTTGGATGGGTGAGTATCATTTCAAAAATGAGTGCCATGTTCGCGTGACCGTCGGATGTGGTGGGATTTCGTAGCCATGCTCGGACTTGTGTGGTCCAGTGTCGTAGAATTGTCTCAACAAGCGATACCCTCTTGGGAGGCGCAGCGTTGCGGAAGCGCGTGTTGCATCGATGTTTCCACAGCTAGTATATAGTGTTTGTGACAATCCAGATTTGGACGAGAAGTTCTCTGTCTGGCAGCCATGGTGGTGCAGGGGTGAGGCGCCGGGGATTCGTTATTGTGTGCCATGTAAACGTCATCCCAAACTGCTGCCAAGGGGGTTCGAGTTGGAAATTGTCGTGCACGAGAACATAGCATGCATGCCGGTTCGACGTGAAAGCAGGTAGGTATACGGACATAGCTGGATGTTCGGGTTCAGGTGCTCCAGGAACCAAAAACGCGCTTGGAAGGGAAGGAGTTTGAACAGTAGGCGGAAGTACGTATCAGCGACGAGGGGGTATACTGGTCGCATCAGATTGCGCAAGTGGATGAGTGTCGAGCGGATTTCGGCTTTGGGTATTGCCCAATTTTCAAACGGATGTTTGAAGGGCTCCTCCGAAGGCTTTGTGTGGAGATATGTGATATCTTTCGGCTTTAAGTTGAAAAAAGTGACATGATGGCCGAGTGGTCTAAGGCGCTGGTTTTAGGCACCAGTCTTCGGGCGTGGGTTCAAATCCCACTCATGTCAAATATTTTTTCTTCGTT